AGGTTATTTCAGCGTGAAGAAGGAACAGACGCTTACTCCAATATTATCTACAAAGCATGGTATACCAAAGGGCCTGAGACAATCTATAAACCAATCGTTACTCCCAGGAAATATCAGTGCAGGCCCGCTGGAAGTCGTGTCCTCAGAGACTGTTTTTAAGCAGATTAGCCGTTTATGCGTATCTTATATTTTTTATCCTCGCCCGAGGACTATTACTCTGTACGGTAACGTTAAACACGGCGGAGATATAGGAACAGAGCGACGTAATTTGATCAGGATTACAACGAGAGAAAGTGTTTTATATTTAATTCTAAATCACATCTGTAGTCCTTAATAGTCACGCAGGTTCAAAATAAGAAATCGCCATACGGGACATGATATATGGGGTGAAAATCAGGTCATGTTAAGCTTTTGATATGCCTTAACGTAACTTGCTATAGAATACAGAAGGGAATTTTTTTTTTCAAATAAAGTTTTTTTGTTATATTTTTTCTGCGAAATTTGAAATAATTTAACTTTAATGGCGCTTCAAAAGACAAATGTTGCTTAATGCATGTCCGCTCCGTTTGCTGTCTGTTTTAACCACGTGACTATAACATCCGGTGATGATATGTGATGATTCCGGCACTAGTAGAAAATCTACGCTATGATACCGGATATTCTAGTGCAATACCTAAAAGCTCTTCTGTAAACAAACTACAGTGTTCTGGTCTAAACATGGATAAAAGTGGTCCGTGATTGTAGTATTGTTGAACTCATGCGTTGCGGTCGCCATGTGAGAATAAACAGCAGTGTTATTGGAGTTTATTTAACGGGGTTATTCTCCTTAACCTTTATCATTAACGCTGTTTGACACGTGTCGCCCAAACACCAGTATACGATCATGCTTCATGTTTGATAAAATGAGCAAGGTAGGTTGTATATCAGTAGTCCAGCTATTATCAGTAACGTTAGGCAACGTGAAGATAAAATATTGAATATGCCACGCTTTGTTTAGTGGGCTGCTGTTGAGATTCTATTTTGGTAAAAAAAAAACAATTATCTACACACGGACCTCTGCATGATGTTTCATTTTAGAAGGTTCGAGTGGATCTGAGTATTTATGTGATAAGGTGTTAGTCCACATGTAGGATTTATCTCAAAGCTGTTTTCTGTGAGGTCACAACTTTGCGTTTTAGAGACCAAACATATTCATTGGTATTAAATTTGGAACATCATTCATCTTTATGACTCCAACATAGGACAGTGGCGACTTCCTAAAGGTACATGCTTCTCTTCAATTGCTCCTTCTTTCTTTTTTATTTCACATGCAAACATTTAACACTGCATTTGCCAAGGAAGATCGATACTCTGCCTGACACAAAAAAGAGCTAGGTTTGATTATTCAAAGTGTCTGTTTACGGATCCGATACAATCCTCATTTGACACCAGGTGTCTAATTGGGCCTACACGTATCAGCACAAACCGGGGTTCAAAAACGCTTGACACCACAAGATTGGTTTGGCTGTATAAATATTTATTTTACATTGTACTTTGTACTTAACCTATTCTTGCCTTACCGTCACGATAACGCTACTTCAATATAAAGGACAATCTAAATCTTAATATAGCTTGAAGATGTGATGTTTTCACAGCATAGATATTTTTTTAATATTAACTGCGGAATACTTTAATCAATCGATTTATAATCAATTCAGTCTATTATCTTTTGAATTCGCTTAAAAATGCGTCATTTCTTTTTCAAAAGTCGTGAACGAAAAAGACAAAATCCTTATATTTTATTTATTATGTTTACAACTCGATGACAAGGAAAATCCAGTCTTCGTTTTCAAGCAAATTTTAGTCGACATTTCGATGAACACATCAAACCAATTCTCATTCATAATTATATTTTATGCATTCTTTGTACATGAATAAACCTTGTGAATATTGGGATAGCATATCCCTGCCTATACGCTGACCGGAAAGCGAATAGAGCAAGTCCATTTACTCACAGTACGTATCAATCATGTCGAACGCACGTGCCAATTAGAGAGTATACTTCGTGTTCTTACCTTTGACATATGACGTTACATTTCCCTTTATTGATTTTATCGGTATAAAGTATCCATAAAGAAACTCATCAGATAACGGTGTATAACTAGTTGCAGTAGACAAAATAATGAAACTCGACCTTAATACATGTGGAGACCGTATGTATGTAGGTTATGGTTATGATGAGTGATGTAGAGTTAGCGAAACGAGCTTAATGTCTGTTCTCGACGTAGCGTCCGCGACACTAGTTTGATGTAAACCTTGACGTTGCGTTAGGAACCTTGTTTTTATTTTGGTCCGAACGTGGCGTTTTTTTTTATTGCATATAGTATACTTTTCTTGACGTTAGTGACACTAGTTTTACAGAGTATAATGTTCTAGAGGTGGCGGCTTACATGTTATACATGTATTGGTCTTGGCGTTACGCTAGCGACATCAGTTATGTACTGGTCCGAACTAGCGTTAACGACGCTTATTTTACAATGTGTACTGGCCTAGATGTAACATTACACGTGTAGCGACACTAACTTTAACTAAGAGAGTATAATGTTGTAGACGTAGCACCAGTGAAGCCAATTTAATATTGGTCTTGACATTGTGTTAGCGACATGAGCTACATTTTGTATATGCGAACGAAGCGATAGTAACGACAGTAGGTTTAGCTTGTATAACGGTGTGGACGCGTACGTACGTATACGTAGGAAGCCATTCTATTCTTGTTTCGACACTGTGTCAGCCACAGTAGCTTTATTACTGGACAAAATTTTCATACTGGCCTGAAGGAAGCCTTAGTGATACTTGTCGTATTATTGTTTTAACGTAACTTTAGCGACACTAGTTTTATGAACGTTTGGTTTGGTTTGGTTTGTTTGTGTTTTACGTCCTATAAACAGCTATGGTCATTTGAAGACTTGTCAGGTTTTGGTGTTGGAGGAAAGCCGGAATTTCCGGAGAAAAACCACCGACCTATGGCCAGTACTTGGCGACTGCCCCACGAAAGACTCGAACCCGCGACCCAGTGGCAGAGGGCTAGTGGTAACAGAATGTCAGACGCCTTAATATAACCACGCGGCCAGTTTTATGTATGCTCTGGACGAAGCGTCAGTGACAGTCGATTTATGTTTGTCTGTATGTGGTATCAAAATCACTATATTTATAATTGGTCTGGAAGCGACGTTACCGACGCCAGTTTTATATTGGCATGGACGTCATGTGACTGACATATGTATTACGCACGTATATTAACAGTTTTATTTTGTATTGACTATATAACCTTTGCCCATTATCACTCTCGTTCGATAATGCTAATTGCTCTCGCGCGCATGTTGATACTTTCAACAAACATTCCTCGGAATAAAGTGCATAAATACCTTAAAATAACAGTTTTTAAGCATAACCTTTCTGATTGTTTTTCACGAGATCTTCACCAACCATTAGTTTAATTACAACAAATGTTCTCGTTCACAATTTCCATGAATATAGCTATTTTGAAAGGGAAAGTAACAGTTTGATAAAACGTGCAGGTGGATAAAACGGAAACCGATATTGATAAAGAAAATAATCTTAATATAATTGTTCATTTTTTTTATTTTTTTTCGATTATTAAGGATAACTATCAACATGTCTCTTTAAAAGTTTAAACTCAACCAATTATTCAATTAAATGAACTTGTAATCGATGTGATTAATCCAAAGTGGCGTAATAAAAAAACCCAGAAATTTGATCTCCCGTAACGCTCTCGACACCTTCATGTTGGTAACGACGAAGCGTGAACGACCATGTGCTATATTGTGTATATCACACTTACCTTTACCAATACTTATGCCATTTAAGGATTACATCATGCTACAGGTCCAGTTTATGGTATGATGAATTGAGTTGATCTTAGGACAAACTATCAAGAATTGTTTGCTATGTGTACTGCATCTTCCCCGCAGTTATACATACATTTTGTAAGGTCATAACAATGATGACATTGTCTTCAGATTTTTTGGGGCAATTCAATTAAGTGCCGTCTTACTTAAACATCCTTACAGCTGGGTAGGGCAGTATGGCATACGATCCAGTCACGTGATGTTGACAAATGTATGAATATTGCTATAGCATAATCAAATTCGTGAGGTTTAATTATCAATATCATAATTCATTTTGATAAACGGATTCAAATCACTCAAAATTTCTGATAGCACAGATTCGTAGTGAAAATCGATTGAATATTACAACCACAGTGCAAATAAGTGATTGTGATATTATTTTACATGTTGACGTGACGTCATATCCCTTGATGCGGTCACATTGTCGATCGCAACCCTACTCGATTTCATGGGCGAGTGAAACGGTTTAAATCTAATAGTTAAAATGCGTCAAACTTTAGTAGGAATGAAAAGAGACCTGTTTAATCGTAATGTTAGCAACACATTGGTAACACCGGCATGCGGAAAAGCGTTTTTGGTTGCCATGGTTATATGCTAAATGTCAAATCCATTAAATCATTTAGGTTTAGGCCTCGTTAGGTAAATAACAAAATAGTGAGGTTAACATTATCAAAAAAGGTCAATTTACCTCACCTACAAGTATTTTTGTATTGAGGACATAAAAGGATATTCCATTTGTGTAGTGTATGGTGCTTTACAAAGCCACAATATTGCAGAAATGTTATAAATCGGCCTAGATAAATTGTAAACAAGACGAAATCGAGAAATTTAGAAAACAAAGATTATCGAGATGCTGTTTCATCCTAAGACTGAAACCCCGCTTCAAGGGACGGAAGCCCCGCTTCAAGGATCTTTTTAGACATTAATCAAAATCATAATATTACTTTCCAATGAGACTATATTCTAATGGGTTAAAGAGAACTTTTTATATATTTTTTCTCAGACAAAGACGACAGGAAATATTGCTGTTTTTATACTTAACATCTCACATGTTAACATTTTTTTCCAAGAAAAAGTTAAATTTGTACTTACCTCATAAACATGACGACGCCGACACGGGTCATATCTTCCTGTATTATCCCCCATGTCTGCACCACTAACTCCCTCTGGCGGTCTGTGAATTCCGGGGCAGGTTCAGTAAGTCCCCGGTTCAGTTGAGGAGAGCCGTCACTTTGGTTAGTGTTTTTTAGGTAGGTTTTCTTTCTATGAGAGTTAGAAGTGATATCCAAACCCTTTCGTAATGCTTCTTTCCTTCTTTTTGCGTAAATACATCCCATTTTGATAGAGTTAGTTATCTAATAACATTATTACAAACAACTGTTGTGTGTTTCTTTAAGAACAAGATATATATATTCAAATTTCAATCTTCACATGTTCACCGTTCCATTAGAATAGAAAGTCGGTGAGGATTTACGAACGTTACTTAGTCTACTAAAACACTGAAGAGTTCGTCAAGGACTTCGACACTAGATAGTTCGAGCACGCATGACGACCAATTAAATATATTTAATCTTCAGCGAAACAAATTATAATGTAAAACTCCACCAATAGGATCTGCGAGTACGGAGTAAGGACAAGTTCAGATCAATAACAGTCGGGTGGTCACATACAGATTCGTACAAACTGCACGTTTAGAGAACACCGACCCTTAACTCTGTAAGGAAGATACATCGTCAATTAACGTCCGAAGATTTAACACACTCAAACACTTAATAGATATACTTGTGTGTTAAACTGTATCATCCCCACGAGGGACTACACCTATTTATAACAATCGCGGAGAGGTATGTCCACAAGTGTTTTGTTATGTATCTAGCGAACTACAGGAACTAATCGTTGTCTTTGTTAGTGAAGAGCTCCTGGATATTTGCAAATGTGAACATTTTAGAAGACGACCTAGTGCTAGCCTGTATTATCGATACGCTGACGAAAGATTGTTGATTGTTAGGTAAACATTCGCACTCCCTTTAGCCCAGCTGCGGGCTGTCTCAGTATTTTCTCAGAAGCACGTTGGTGGGTTGAAATCATCACCTTGGAAATATTAATGACTGTTACACCTGGAGCACGCCTTCCCTAAACAGTGTAGTCTTATCTACCGATGCTGGTAGCGGTTCTCTCCACACAGCTCCCTATGCTGTCTGTATCACACGCCGCACCGCGCCAGTGGATATCAATCAGCTCAGAACTCGATATGATCGTCACATTTGTCTGTACGCGCGGAGGCAGACTGTATCTGTCATACTAGTACTAGCAACGCATTATTTGTATGTACCTGTATGCGCGGCACATGGTGTTAAAATAGAACGATTTGAAATGATGATACATTGATTGTTCATTTGAAGTGATGATTTTTGTTTCACACGTATCACTCTGCATATATATGATTGTGACAGGTGGCAAATAATGTGAACGTCATCATTCGTCGTGTAGGTTGGTGTCAACCGTGTTACATCCCATACTGTCGTGTGCCGGGATACGTCACACCCTTTTAGTAGAGTTGTGAGAAAAGTGACATGTCGCACATTATTTTGTACCATGATGCGTGACACATTTTTGTCGTTTACGTTGTAATACGTCACAAATGGTCGTGTACAATGTACCATGACACGTTACACTTCTGTCATTATGATGTGAAACTTCACAGCTAGTTTGACTGGGCGACAGAAATCGTCACACGTTATATACTGCAGCAATAGAAATTTTCGCTGTTTGGAAATGTTTGCGTTTTTCGCTTGGTGCAAGTTATTGTGAAAATATACACACACAAAATATGTAATGGTAGATCATACAAATTTCCACATCACATCAGTTTAAAGATTTACAAGGCGAACATAATTATCCACTTGCTAAAAAAATATTTTTTTTGTATTACTTTCCATTTCATGTCTTCTGACCCGCAATGTTTTTTTCTGTGTCATAAATTATCGAGGCTGACAAACACGAGACCGACAATTCTTTGATATATCTAACCATGTTATCATCTGGGTTTTAATAAACATACCAAACTTTGCATAATAATTCATTTTCGGTACATGTACATGTAATAGAAATACTGACAAACGGGGATCAAAATGTATGTACTTCGTGTGCAAGAATCCAGCGTAATATTTCAAACGGCAAAATCAACAGTGGAAGTAACGTGTTAGTCCATTGCCGTGTAACTCTATTACGACATCCCAATGAAAGTTAACATTGAAGTTGTCTTTTATTCAATAAACATTAATGATGATTTGATGAAGGCGTTATGATGATATTTTGATGATGCGGACCGCACATCATGGATTAAAGCATAACTATTGTTTATCAACAACGTTGTATACATTGCTAATTCATTTTTCACACTAATTCGTATATGCGGCATTTTTTTCTTCATTAAGGGCTCAGAAGCTGGTTATGCAAAAATACAATCAGTCTGTGTTACCCTCTTCAGAAGTGTGAGTTTGGTCACCATTCAACCCATTGCCTGAAGTTTAGTTGTTATTGTGTTCTAATTTAAAAACAAAAAAATATGGTTTCTTCAGAATCATGAAACAATTCCCACAAACTGTGTCACAATAATGGAACGTCAATTTTCACGAGAATAATAGTGCGTTTTCTATGATTACCAATTCCAAGAGTTGGCAATCGGAAACCAGAAACCACCATGGAATTGCATTATGATTTAAATTTCCATCACTCCATGATTTGCCCCCGAGTACAGTATGACGGAAACGACTGAATAGAAAAATTCATGTTGAAAAGTAGGACTTAACATCTCGATCGGTCTGATTAACAACGAATTATTAATATAGGGGTATGAAAAGAAAACTCCGAACTATCATATTTGAGTTTTTGGTATGGAAGACATATTTCGACCAATCAGGTTTGAGAACTTTGTATATAACAAAAAAAATATATATGCTGTCAAATCTGATCCCGTCATCTTTGTATATATTATGATTCAGTATAAAAAGCTAATTTCCCGATTTGACATATTAAATCAAAATGATAGTTCATAATTCATGGTAAGCAGTAATGCTACAACGCGACACCATCTGAACAGGGTTTGGGCGATCTCTCTCATACCCACTGTCGCGGCAATGTTAATCTACGGCACGTTTCTTTGGGAGACATTTCAGGAGCAACAACTGCTGACGAATAGGTGTTACCAGTTCTTACCAGGCAGTAAACAAACACATGTCCATGTAAATGAATAAAGATTTCAGTTTGGCAAATTGTGCCTGGTACTTCTGAGGTTAATGGGACATGATACACTGTCGTTTGGATTAAATAAGAGCACTCGATTGAGGCTTGCAATATGGGTACACGTATACACCCATTAAGATACGATTGTATTTCGCAAAAAAAAATGTTTTCAAATGAGTTCGTCATTAACCCTATAGTTTATTTGTCATTCTGTTTTTGCATCAACTGTATGTCGAGTTACAGGGGGTTGATGTCTTAAATAACCAAATGGAGTTGAGTATGTAATGTATTACCTCGATATCAAATTATCAACAAAGTGTAGTCGGTAGTTAATAACGTTTAGACGGAGTTAGGATATTAAATTATACCCGCACAATCCCCTAAGGCCAGAACGCTGTGATGTAACCGGTCACGTGCGCTTTTCAACCAGACGTAAATCACAGTTACGCCATAAAGGGTAAGCTCAGCATTAGCTTGATATAAGAAATTGAATCATTCTATTGCTTTGACAAAGCTTACACTATAGGGCAGTTTGGGATAATGTGATAAAGTCAATTGCTCTGATAAAACTACGTCCCACATAAATGGTCTCTTACTTTTATATGCGATCGGCTGCGGTAAGATTCAATTTTCTCTAGTGTTCCGTTTTTCAATTCATTTAAGACATTGCGTAGCATTATATTGTCATTTAATCACATGTTAATTATTTATTGAGATAAAATACTGTTACGGCTGATAAACTTAGGACATATCATTGTTGTAGTACATTGCGCTAATCACATTATTTTTGTTGAGTGTTGCTTTATAAAATTTATCGTTGGTGTTGTGCGACGAGATATATACTTGGTTTGGTGAATTGTTTAAAGGGATATATAATTGGTTTGGTGAATTGTTTAATGGGATATATAATTGGTTTGGTGAATTGTTAAATGGGATATATACTTGGTTTGGTGAATTGTTTAAAGGGATATATAATTGGTTTGGTGAATTGTTTAATGGGATATATAATTGGTTTGGTGAATTGTTTAATGGGATATATAATTGGTTTGGTGAATTGTTTAATGGGATATATAATTGGTTTGGTGAATTGTTTAATGGGATATATAATTGGTTTGGTGAATTGTTTAATGGGATATATAATTGGTTTGGTGAATTGTTTAATGGGATATATAATTGGTTTGGTGAATTGTTTAATGGGATATATAATTGGTTTGGTGAATTGTTTAATGGGATATATAATTGGTTTGGTGAATTGTTTAATGGGATATATAATTGGTTTGGTGAATTGTTTAATGGGATATATAATTGGTTTGGTGAATTGTTTAATGGGATATATAATTGGTTTGGTGAATTGTTTAATGGGATATATAATTGGTTTGGTGAATTGTTTAATGGGATATATAATTGGTTTGGTGAATTGTTTAATGGGATATATAATTGGTTTGGTGAATTGTTTAATGGGATATATAATTGGTTTGGTGAATTGTTTAATGGGATATATAATTGGTTTGGTGAATTGTTTAATGGGATATATAATTGGTTTGGTGAATTGTTTAATGGGATATATAATTGGTTTGGTGAATTGTTTAATGGGATATATAATTGGTTTGGTGAATGGTTTAATGGGATATATAATTGGTTTGGTGAATGGTTTAATGGGATATATAATTGGTTTGGTGAATTGTTTAATGGGATATATAATTGGTTTGGTGAATTGTTTAATGGGATATATAATTGGTTTGGTGAATGGTTTAATGGGATATATAATAGGTTTGGTGAATGGTTTTAGAATAAATGTGATTGGTTTGGTGAATTGTTTAATGGTATATATCGTTGTTGTGGTGACTCGTTTTAGATATCGCTGGTGTTGTTAACTATTTTTGGTGATATATCATTGTTGTGCTGTATTGTTTTAGGAGATGTATCGTTGGTGTTGTGTATTGTTGAAGGAGATATTAGCCGCCGGCTGAGATAAGGTCCTTAAGAAGTAAAAAATCAATTTTGTGATTTGTATGAATTCAGAATCTAGAGACATTCCTGATCAGAAAGATATAACAATTATGTCAGTCCGTCAATATTTGACGATTTAACGCCACTTTAAAGATACGTCATACATAGAAGTATGCTATGTGACTTCTGAGGTCGCTCACAACGTCATTATTTCTGACGTTACTTTTAAGATCGATACCGGCGGGTAACATGTCTATTAACTTTAACTGCTTATTTCTGGCTTCACTCCAGAAGTTTAAGCATGATTGGAAAGGGAAATTCCAGAGCATTTAAATGGAAATAATTAAATATGTTATCAAGTCATACACAAATACTGAAATGTAAAACAAATAGTGTTCCATATGACCATGGGACAAATAATACTTCTGTACTTTTGAACTTTCTAGACTAACATCTGTACAGTTTTCTTCCGGTTATAGCTGTGACAAAAATATGTTTGCAACAAAAACTTGAATCAGTATTCACAAATCTATACCACTTTGAAATGACCATCATGAAATGCATGAAATTAAGTGGTACGAGTTTTGACGTTGCAAGCCTTGTCACTGTCTTTTACGTCGCCACTTTGAATGTCAGTCACGCCCAGTTCAAAGCTTCTTGTTTGAATAAACTGAGTACCCAGAGAAAACCAACGTGATCGGGCATGTGAACCCATACTTTTTCACGTCCGATTTGGGAATTGAACATCGGCCGCCATGGTGAAAGGCACGTTCGCTATCCACTTCACCGCCCAACCACTCAGTACAGTACAATGTGTAATAAGTATTTGACTATTCTATTTTAGTTGAATATGCTGGAATACTTAGCCTCAGACTTTTCCCATGTAAATATTTGAGGTTGATGAGGTCACTTGTTCCAACAGTACCATTTTTCATTGGAATGAAAAAACTGAAAATCTTGCTGTTTTAATTCAGTGATTGTTTTTCTCAAAAAAATGTTTAACGTCATTTTCAGAAAAGAAAACAGGAATTTTAGT